AAACGCAGAAGATTTAAATTTTAGTATACATTTATTAAATTATATAGGTTAGTCGGCATGAACTTTCCGGACAACCCAATATATTTATATTATTCATGATATGATAATTTTAGTTACATATCTAATAAGCGTATTTTTTATTTTACAGGATATCAATTTATTTATCGGCTAATCAATTATCAGAAATCATTATACATAAATGCTGATATATTTAAAAAATTACGTTTACTGATTTTCATCGTATTTTGTACCTACGTCTCCAAAACAAAACTGATGTGAAAGTAATCGACTGCAGGTTGGTTATCGACGATATATTTTTAGATAGAATCCGTAAGTCGATACGTGGGCGTAACTGTTTCACTCGCTCAATTAAACAAATAACGATAACAATGGAACGAACTCAATTGATCGTTACACATAAATTACATCCATCTCACACTTCCGCGTTATTTCAATAAGATATTGATGCTAAATGAATTTTTTCAGAATTCAATCTAGCCTAATAATGATGACGTTATTTCATTTTTCCAATCTATTAAATTTCTGGATCTATTTATTATTTTGTTTTTTACGTTTAAATAATCTGCTTTGCAGATGTATTACGTGAATTTTTAATTTTTAATATTTATAATTTTTCTTTTTTCCTGTTTTTTTTTAAATATTTTTATTTGCTCATATAAATTTCTATTTATATTTTTACTTTTCAAGTTACATTGAGAAAAAAATAGCCTAAATTAAAAAATATTTATTTGAATATTGCCAACTAAACATTTACTTACAATAAATAAATATTTACTTAATAAAAAGAAGTGATTATTAAATCAAATTAATATTTTTTGTACCAAATAAATATATTTTTATGTTTAATAAATATTTAATTGGTATTTCATTCAAATATAAATATATTCAATAAATATTTATTGAAATTTAGAATTTTTTTTTCTCGATGTAATTAAACATAAAAAATTCATTTTGTCTTATTCAATCACGTGTGTATATTCTATCAGTATCAGATTTAAAATCAATTTTTCACGACGATGACGAAAATAGATTTGGCATGCAATCGTGCGTTTGATGAAGAGATTTTTCTTCTCAATGAAAACCGATCAGAGTTTTCCTCGAGAGACGCAATGCAGACATCATAATTTTGCGACAAGCGAATTGAGAAGATATTCCGTTGTGCAGAAAGTTCAGGCTAAGAAGAAGGCGAAGAATTTCGTGAAATTCTAGAAGGCACCGTTAGCTATGTTTCAGAACCGATAGATTGTTATTAATGAAAGAACAGGATGAGCACTATGGACGCACCTTCGAATAACGTCATCATACCACCTTGAATGGCTTATGTAACGAGTGCCACCGTGTCATAGACAATGCGTTACGTGACGCGTGTGCAAGCGTGCACATCGTATCGAATCATCGTCATTTTTTAATCGGAATGCGTCCTTGTGCGCGAGGATTCTATCGAATTCTATATATATATGATAGAGACTATATATAATTTGATCAGACATAATTTAGCATTCTGCTAGAAATCAATGACACATAGGTCAACAGGAGAACATTGTCCGAGTCAATTTATTTGCAATTACATTACTTTTATTTTAACACACGCACATTTTTTTTTACAAAAAAATTAAACTTTCTTCAATTTCTTTAATTTCCAATCGTTTAAATTCTTTTTTGAGTCATTAATTATTATTCATAATTTTTTAATTATTGATTTTCTTTGTTTTCAAACATTTTGTAAGTTCCAATTACTATAATTGAGATGTTTAACTGGAAATATACTCCAATTATTACGGTAGAGGGAACAACTTAACTTTGTTGCAATTTTCAATGAATAATTCATCACGATAGCACTATTACTGTAAAAAGAGCAGCCTTACCCATTTCTTGCCTCGCACTCTGTTCCGAATGCCCGTTTACGCGCATCGTCGACTCCGAACTTTCCTTTTCATACTTATACAGCACCTTGATTGAGGATCCCGCCTCTGTAAGAAGAAAAGAACAATATTTATTATATACACTTGAATTGCGCGCGCATCAAATCGCGATACAACGGAATATCGCATGCACCACTTCCGATCGTGTCTTCCTATTAATTGTTTCCATAATTACCGGAACAGGGCCTGCCATTGTGCGAAATCATTGTTCAAAGACAATGGTCTTAACTAAGAATACCATGTGGAAAAATTACCGATGGTTAAAATTATCTAGTACAAATGATTATTTTAAACTTTGCTAAGTGTCCAGAGGAAATCGATCTAGTAAACCAAAGGTCAGTGATGGTTAGATAACAATTACATAGACGGTATTCTATCTTTTTTACTTGATGCTTATGAAATTATAGAATTATGATCGTATAATATTGCATAAAATATAAAATTTGAAATTACAATTATATAATAAAAAATGCATGTTTTAAAAGTTGTTGTTCCCTTAACTTATAATAGCCCAAAGTTTTCAATACTGCTTTCTGTGAAAAAATGAACTAATTGTTAGTTAAATGCGTTTGTCTCGGTCCTTTTTATATTTGAACCAAAGAAGTGTTAATATTTTCGCGTATTATATTTTAATTTAGTTTGCATAAAATAAAGAAAGAAATAAAAAAAACAGTCATTAGTAAGTAAATATTTAATCCAGATTAAAAATTATAAGCAAGTAACATATTATAGGGTATTTTCCATTTGATAACACAAACAAACACAAAATGTCGTTCTATCGTTGTTAGTCATTGGAATATTATGAAAGATAAAACGATGTTTGTGTCGACATGTGTCACTAAATGGAAAACATTCATATTCTACAATTATCGGTAATTAAGGAAGAGTGGAAGAAATAATTACAGGCTTCAAAAACAAGTAATATAATGTACTAGCGCTCAAATAAACACTCTGATTAACATACTTTAACGTAACGTTAATTTCATTATGACGCAATTCTGAGAATTTAAATATTGTATTTTATTTTCTAAAAATATACAGAATATATTAATTTAAGTTAATAAATATTTAATATAAAATAAAAATCAATTTTTCTTTCTTTTTCCATTTATTCTATACATTTTGTTATTTATTGAAATTTTGAAGAGGTTCGGTACGTATATTATAAATAATGTAATATAATAAACACATTTTAAATTTTTGCAGAAGTTATATGTCGGTAAAATTCCAATATTTTTCATATTTAAATTAATTTTTGTAAATCTTGACACATTAAATTTTATATGAATTTTTCCATATATCTAGATGCAAATCGCTTCTCACAATTAATATAGATTTCTC